TCAACTATCCGTTGGACGGCACCGACCCCTCGGCGGTCATACCGGTGGCCACCACACGCTTGGAGACCATTGTGGGCGATGTGGCGATCGCTGTGCACCCGGAGGACAGTCGGTATCAGCACGTCGTGGGCCGACACGCCGTACACCCCTTTACGGGTCGTCGTATGCCTATAGTCGCCGATCGCTCCGTACGTCCCGAGTTGGGTACCGGAGCCGTGAAGATAACGCCCGCGCACTCGGTGTTTGACTACGCACTCGCCGAACGCCATTCCCTACCGGCGCTCGACGTGTTTGACTCGGAGGGACGCCTACACTGTCCGGACGCTCCGGAGTTCACGGGTTTGCATCGCTTTGAGGCCAAGGATGTCGTGCGCCGGGCGTTGGAGTCGAGGGGACTGTATGTCTCATGTGAACCGCACCGGCAGTCCATACCTGTGTGCCATAGGAGTGGAGATCTCATAGAGAGCCGACTACTGAGCCAATGGTTCCTGAAGTGCGATAAACAGCGAGTTTTGGCTCAGTTTGTGGTGAACAGGGATGAGATGTCGGCGCCCGACGAGCGCCAGTGGCGAGAGTTGAGCGAAACGGTAGCCCCGGAAGACAGACACCTGAGTATAGTTCCGCCGAACTATAGGAATGTGTGGAAAGACTGGTTCTCGCGATGGGAGGACTGGTGTATATCGCGACAGATCTATTGGGGACATCGGATACCGGCCTATAATGTGATCATTGATGGCATGCCTACCGACGACTGGATCGCCGCTAAAAGGTATGACACATCCCTGTCCACCTCTTGTACTCCCTGTCCACCCGTGCTATCAACAGTAAAAACTCATACTTTTCTGAACCCATTTAGCGATACGGAAGCGCTGGCTATTGCCCGAAATAACTACCCGTCCCGTGAGGTGATGGTGCGTCAGGACCCGGACGTGTTGGACACGTGGTTCTCGTCAGCGCTGTTACCGCTGACTGTCAACGGATGGCCGGAACGGGATCTCCGCGACACTACTGACCCGTACTTCCCGTTGAGTCTCATGGAAACGGGTCACGACATTATATTCTTCTGGGTGTCCCGTATGGTAGTCCTGTCGCTGGCGCTGACCGATAGGCTACCGTTCCGTCGCGTACTACTGCACGGAATGGTATGCGACGGGAACGGCAAGAAAATGTCCAAAACGAGGGGCAATGCCATCGATCCGCTCGATATGATTGACGGCATATCGCTGGCCGACCTGAAAGCCAAGACCCGGCGGCACCTGGAGTCCGGACTCCTGTCCAATAAGGAACTGGACGTAGCGCTGCGCCAATTGAGTGGGAAATTCCCTAAAGGTGTGGTGAGCTGTGGGGCCGACGCGCTCCGGTATTCGCTGTTGGAACTGGAGTTTAAGGCCGAAAACGTGGCGTTTGACGGGTACCGGGTATTCAAGAATCGCAACTTTTGCAACAAAATGTATCAAACGGTGCGATATTTGGCGCAACACGTGGACAGTGGGTTCACAGTGGACAGGGATGTCTTAGCCGTGAGTGTCATCGACTCCCACTATGAGGTGCCACACCTAATATGAGTTCATTATTAGTGTATGTTTTATGTATGAGAGGAATGGTAGCAAAAATAGTGATTCATTTAATGGACTAAACTTTATGTTTGCTATGAATGTGTGCTTAGTTTTTGTGTTATTAATGAAATGATTACTAATTTAGTCATAATTTAGCGCTATTTAAGTGTATATTACTTGTAGTGAACTGTGTTTTAGTATTATTTTATAACTTATACTAAACGTGGGATTAGTGTACAGTATTAGTATAGTATAACTACTTTTATAGTAGTTTTTATGTTTGCATTTAATTGAATTTTACTTAACGTTACATTAACTCTATATTCAATAGATTTTTACAAAACTTTTTACTATTCATTAGAGAAACTATTTTATACACAAAACCTTTTGTTAGACTTTGCGTAGAAATTAAACACAATTTCAATGACAAGTAATAAGTCATTAAGAACACTGTCATAATACAATACAGAATTGGCTAAGCTGGCAATCGGGATTTTTTGATTGGATATGAACGACCATTCAATGCTGAATCAGAATATGGAAATTATATTGTTCTGTGACCTCGGGATCGGCCGGAGTGACCACTTTTATCGGGAAATATTTTATATA